GTATTCTATTCTGTCAGTGTCCTGTAAATGTTATTGAAAGGAACAACTGAATAAAACATTAAAACTTTGCTTTTAGCAATTAATTAACATTGGAAGACCCATGTTTTTAGCAATTCAAAAATTAGTAATTTTTAGCATGAAGACTACATGCTAACATCTGGGGTAGGAGCCTCAGCATCACAAAATAAATAAATAAAGCTATTGTGTCCATCTACAACTACCTAAAAAATAAAAAAATGTGAGATTAATGCTATTTTTTATTTTTTGGTAGTTGTAGATGGACACAATAGCTTTATTTATTTATTTTGTGATGCTGAGGATTGAACCCAGTGCCTCACACATGGCAGGCAGGCGCTCTACCACTAAGCCATAACCCCAGTGCAAGACTCAAAATTTTTTGACCTCTGTTCTATTGTCCTGTAGTAGTGGTTTTCAAACTTAAACTCAATAATAAATTCATTAAAGGTTAACATAAATCACATATCTTTATGAAAAATAATCATATTTTTTAAGACAAAAGTTAAGAAAGAGGAATTATACATTTATCAAATCTCTGTAACATGGCTTAAAAAAAAGCTGAATTCTCATCTACATCTTTATATTTAATCTCATTTGATATCAGGTGGTAGGTATCTTCTGAGAAATTGAAACAGTGGACATCACCACTATATAGATTCTCTGATACCTTTATCTTAAAAAATAAACTGGTATTTGGGCTAGATGGTGTAATTCAGGGAGAACTTGCCTAGCATCCCCAGTACCTCAAAAATAAAATGAATAAACAAATAACCCTACATTAAAGGAGGCTCACTTGGATAGTTTTCTAAAAACCCTTAGAGTTTAAAGAGGAGAAATCTCATTTTGGGGGGGAGATGCATATGATTTATTTATTTAGTTTTAATTAGTTACACATGACAGTACAACGATCTTGACATAGCATACATTTGAATCAGATGGGGTATAAGTTTTCATTTTTCTGAGTGTACAGGTTGCAGAATCACATTGGTCATGCAGTCACGTACATACATACAGCAATAATAAAGTCTATTTTATTCTGCTGTCCTTCCTTTCCCTCTCCCTTCCCCTCCCCTCCCCTCCCATCACTTCTTTCTACCCAATCTAATGTTACACACTTTTTTTTTCTTATTCCTAACTTCATCATACATGTATTCTGTATAATGATGAGAGTCTCCTTCTATCTTCGGTGCAATTTCCCTTCTCCCTCCCTTAGAAATCTCATGTTCTATTTTCAAGAGTACAAGCATGAGTCCTCAGGGCAAAGGGTGATATAGCACAATGGAAAGATCTTTGGGTTGGGAGATAATGGCC